CAGGCACAGCCGGCAGGTGTCGGCCAGGGACACAGTCTCACCGTCCCTAAACCCCAGCCACCACTGGACACGTCTCTGTCCAGTGAGATCCACCCAGCCCTTGCTTCCCGAAGACGTTCGGCACACCCCTCCTCCTGTCCACGCTCCCCAAGCTCCTTCCAGACGGGCCTGAGCCAGCCGGAGGCAGTGGCCTCCAGGGCCGTGTCCCTCGGGCCGTGGGCGCTGGGTCCTGCTCACCTGCAGTCCCTGCAGGCCCCTGCGGACTCCACTCCGCGCCTGAACACTTGGAGCATCGTGAAGAAAGGAGAGTTTGAACCCCAGACCCACCGGATGTTGGCGATGACCCAGCTGCCTCTGAGCCCCAGGCCCATTGTTTCTGGATGAGGCACAGCAATTCCAGGCAGAGACCAGTGGGTCAGACGAGTCGCCCACTTTAGTCCTGGCAACTGGCTGCACCCAGCTCCCTCGGCCACGCTCAGCATTGACCCCAGCGCGTCCATGCACACCCCACTCTGGCTCACGTGGTGTCCTGACCCACGCCTGTGCTGATGGTCCGCTGGGCTTCTCAGCTGCCCAGGGACATTTGCGAAGGGGCTGCATTGTGGTGGGGCGTGCCCGCAGGTGAGGGTCGCCACTGCCCCGATGCCACAGTTCCTTAGGACATGGGCAGGAAGAAAGCGGCAGGAGAAAAACCGACGGCCAGCTCCAAGGGTAGGAGAATGGTGAGGGCGGAGAAGTGAGGGAGGTTCACGCTGAAGACCTGAGTCTGAGTTTGCATCGGGTCGTGACGGCTACCCCCGGGACTGCCCTGCTTTTTTTTAGAGTATTAGACTAACCGTCCTTGGTGGAGACCTGCAACTAATGAAGTCCCCAGTTCTGACGTGCAGTGGATGCATGTACCCTGCAAGGGCCACATCATTCAGGAAGAGAAGTCGTGTTTGCTTTGGCTTTGAGCTGGGACGTTAAATGCTCTTTGCTTTCTTTGCTGTGCTGTGTGGGTGGGGCCGGGGGCTGGCCTGCACCCCGTGGTTCAGGATGCCAGTGGGAACTGGCACAGCCAGCTGGAAGACTCGAGGCTTGGCGCACTGGGGTGCCAGCCCGGGGGGCTGTGGCTGTCCACACCTCCCATAACCATGCTGCTCCCCAAATGAAACGGCTGCATCTAAATGTCAGCCCCAGCAGATGAGAGAGGAGATGAAAGCACTCTAGCAGATGAATTTCTTCTTTAGAGAGCCAGTCGCACAGCCCCCTGAATCCATTTCCAGAAAGTTCTCTTCATAGAACACTGCCTTTAACAACAAGACTT